TTTACTCTTTACTCTTTACTCTTTACTCTTTACTCTTTACTCTTTACTCTTTACTCTTTACTCGGGAGGATGTGACATATCCAGCTGCACTAACCCATCCTCTTATAAACCCTTTCCACCAGGACTTAACTTAAGTGATCCAGCGACTAATGGTACTGCCCTTGGCCTACTGCTTCGCCCCTGACAAAATGAAGTTTTATGAAGATTTTATACAATCGTATAAGAATATCGAGAACGCCCAGGATAACTTCTGTTGCGGAGCGTCCAGAATTGCTAGCATTTTCTAGTGAGGAAAATACAATGGAAACAAAAATGAGAGAGAGAGGAATGAGCGCTGGACTACAATTTGGTTGCGTGGTTGACTAAAGTAGGAAAGAGTAGGATTTTTGAAAATAAACTTGAGTAAAATTTTGTCAGCTGCGAATCTCTACTAATTATGTTCCTTGAAAGAAAGAGTCCCCGGGAAACGGAAGTGTCTAGCTTTCCGGATATTCTGCGAGGCCACGGCCTACCCAGAATAAATATTTTCAGTAATATGAGTTAGGTTCAGCGTGGACACAGTTTTAAGCACTTTTAATATTCAAAAGCACTCTGGAGGTGATGACATATGCAGCTCCAGTGACCCTTCCACCAATTAACCCTTTCCAGCAGGACTTTACTTATCTGATCCAGCGATTACTGGTACGGCCCTTAGGCTACTGCTTCGCCCCAGAGAAAATATAAAAGTTTTATACAATCCTGTAAGAATATCGAGTACGCCGAAGATAATTTCTGGTGCGGATCGTCCAGTATCGCTAACATTTTGGAATGAGGAAAATACAATGAAAACAAAACTGAGACAGAGAAATAAGTCCTGCAGACTACAATTTAGTTTCTTGGTTGACTGAAGTAAAAAAGAAGAGAGTTTTTGAAAAGAAACTTGAGTAAAATTTTGACAGCTGCGAATCTGTAATAATTATGTTCCTTGAGAGAACGGGTCCCCGGGAGACAGACGTTCCTAGGTTTTCGGATATTCCGCAGTAAATAATCTAATTGCAAGGCCAAGGCCTACCCAGTCAGGGAAGCGATGAGGAATGCAAGATAGGAGAGATTTATATTGTTCCAGAATAAATATTTTCATTAATTTGAGTTAGTTTCAGCGTGGACACAGTTTTAAGCACCTTTAATATTCAAAAGCACGATATATTCTTATAACATAGCCTTAGCGAAGCGCGCGTTTTGATTGATTAATATGCTAGACCGTTTGCTAGACCCATTTGCCCGTGGGTTGTACACTTACGCCAGTTTGTTTATTTGTACTTTTTTCGGCAGCTTTTTTTCATCGATGGTGA